TGTTGCGTGTGTTGCGTGTGTGCGTGTGTGCATGTGTGTGCGTGTGTGCGTGTGTGTGTGTGTGTGTGTGTGTGTGTCGGGTGGGGGTTCGCGGGGGGGGGGTCGTGTGTTGTGTGTTGCTTGCCGTGCGCGCCGAGTCACCATGCGCAGTTCACCACACGTATATCAAAACATATATATACATATGTATTGATATGTGTATATACATATATGTATGTATTCGGTGGACTGTCTAGGTATACATACATATATATACACATATATATAGAGATGCATTTATACACATGTATAATCCACCCATACCGTCACTACTGTGCTTGGGCTGTGGGTCAGAAGCCTCTTGGATAAATTCCCCAGCTGCTGGTGGCAAGTTCCGCCAGCGTGCCAGCTTGGGAAAGCCGTAATGAGGGTGATGAGGATGAGGATGGTGAGGAGGAGGAGGAGGAGGAGGTGCAGGAGGAGGAGGAGCAGGAGCAGGAGCAGGAGCAGGAACAGGAGGAGGACGAGGACGAGGAGGGGGAGGAGGAGGGGGAGGAAGAGGAAGGCCGTCGCATGTGTCACCTTTCGTCTTCACTTATTGAGGGGTCCTCTTGGCCGTATGAGGGGTGTCTGGGGGCCGTCGTGAGGCGACGTGTCGCCGTCTTGGGCCGTCGAACGGCTCTCTGCGGCCGTCTTGGATCCCCATGGGAGCCCTCTCAGGCCCTCTTGGGGCCGTCTTGGTTGCCTCTTGGGCCGTCGTGGGGTCATCTGGAGCATTCTTGGGGCCCTGTTGGGGGCCTCTTGGCTGTTTCGGGGCCACCTTGAAAGCTTATTGGGCCGTCTTGAGCTGACGGAAACCTGAAAGGCGCGACTGCGAAATCCCCAATCCAACACAAAAAACATGATTCTTCATAACATGGCTCCGAACCTTGTCTGGGTCCTTCGGTGGCCCATTGGGGCCATCTTGGAGGCATCTTCGGCCGTCTTGGGGCCATCTTGGGCGGCCTTGTAGTCATCTTGGGCAGTCTTCGAGGCATCTTGGGCCATCTCGGCGGCCCTAGTTGCCTGCCTGGGCCGTCTTGGACGTTCGGGGCGCGAACCCGCTGTTTTTCCCCAAGCCTCCTGTGTGAGTTGCGTCCTCGCTTTGCATCAGCAGCGCCCCGCGTCCTCCTCACCCGGTCCCCCTCCCTGACCATGCCGCATGCTGCAGTGGGCTGCGGCCGCCGCGGAGCGTGCACGGGCGCACCCCGCCCAGGCGCGGCGGAGGGCCGCGGCAGCGCCGGCGCCGGCGCCGGTGCCGCGGGCGAGCCCGGCGCCGCCGCGGCCGGCCAGTTCTCGACGCTGCGGGCGTTCGAGGCGCAGCAGGCGCCACGCCGACGGCTCGGCGACGGCAGCGGCGGCGTCGGCGGAGGCCTCAGCGGCAACCACGGCGGCGCTGACGGCGGCGGCGGCGGCGCTAGCGAACGCAGCGGCGACGTCGACGACGGCGCGGCGGCGCGGGGCCCCGCGGGCGCCCTCGCGCGCCGCGGACGCGCCAAAGCGCCCGGCGCGGGCGCGGGCGCCCGCGGGCGGTCTCCTCGTCGCCGTCGTCCTCCGGCCCCCCGGAGGGCCGACGAGGCGCGCGGGCGTTCTCCTCGTCGCCGGTCTTCTCTTCGTCGTCGTCTTCGTCGCCGTCGTCCTCCGTTCTCTTCGTCGCCCTCTGAGGTTTGATGCGGTGGCCCCGCTGTATTTTCTCGTATCCCTTCCGAGCTCTGATCCCGTCAGGGCTCCTATCCTCCTCCCTTCCCCTACGTCGTCGTCGTTCTCCATTTCCTTTTCCTCCTCCTCCTCATCATCATCATCCTGCTCCTCCTCCTCCTCTTTTTCCTCCTCTTTTTCCGCCTCCTCCTCCTCCTCATCCTCCTCTCATTCCCTCCTCCTCCGCCCGGCGTGGGGGTGCCTTGTCGTCGTCGGCGGCGCCAGCGACGGCGACGGCGGCAGCGGCGGCGTCGGCCTGGGCGTCGGCCGTTGTCGTTGTTGAGCCTCGTCGTCGTCGTCGTCGTCGCTGCTGAGCCTCGCCCTCGTCGTACATCGTCGTTGTTGAGCCTCGTCGTCGTTGTCATCGTCGTCGTTGTGTTCCTGCTCATTCAATGCCGTCGTCGTCTTCGTTCTGTTCGTCCTCACTAGGTGCCTTCTTTCTCCTACCCCTCCTCCTCCTCCTCCTCCTCCTCCTCCTCCTCCTCCTCCTCCTCCTCCTTCCCTTCCTCCCTCCCTCCCTCCCTCCCTCCCTCCCTCCCTCCCTCCCCCTCTGGTGGGGGCGGTGGGTGGCGGTGTGGTGTTGGTGTTCTTGGGGTGCTTTCCCTGTGTCTGGGGCGGGCCAGGTGGTCTGGGTTCGGCTGGGTCGCGTCCGCGGTGATGCGTTTCCGGAGCTCCGTGCGGACTTCGGGGTCGGCGACGGACCCCACGCGGCGGCGCCTCTGGCGCCGCTCCTGGCTCGCGGCTCGCGGAGCGCCCCGAGTGGAGGCGAGGGGGGTCCACCGCCGATCCAAGATATCCGCACCGGCGCCCGAGAGAGCTCAGCTCTGCAGAGTCGTAGCCCATGCCGCACTGCTTGGGGGGGGCGGGGGGCGGCCTCTCCCCCTCCCATTCTTCGGTTTCCCGCACTGTCCCTCCCTCCCTCGCAGGCTCTTCCTCCTTCGGACCTCTCCCCGCCCCCCTCCTTTTCGCATTCCCTCTCCATCCCTGCCCTGCAGACCCTGCTGGGCCTGGGAGGGAGTCGAGGCATGTGAGAGGAGTCGCTGTCTTCGACTGCTCAGCCCGCCCTGGCGCTTTGGGTCGGGGGTTGCCAAGGTCGTTGCGACTTGTGGGGGGTCCGAGTGGATCGCATCTCCCGAAGCCCTTCTACGCCGCTTCGGCTTCCACTCTGCCCCAGCCTCCCGTAGGCCGGGGGTGCCTGGGGCCGTGTCCGCGGGAGGCACTTTCGGCTGGGAGCGGATCCGGCCAGCAGTGGGAGCTTCTCTGAGAGACCGGAGGGGGGGGGGGGGGGGGGGGCAGGCTTCAGCAATCTCGTCTTCGGATGCAATGCCTGGGAGGTCAAATGCTGACTGCCCTGGTCCGAAGCCCGGCCTACTCCGGCTAAATCCCGCTGAATCCCGCTTAATTCCGCGTCACCCCAACATACTAATAGTATGTGTGCGTCGCCCCCCCAGAGGCGGCGTGCGCACCGAGAAACCTCATAGTATATGCGTCGTGGCGGGCGCTGTCTGGCCACACCGCTCGGGAAACGATATACAACGAGATAGGTATACTACATGTTGGGGTCGGACGCGCGCCTCCAAGGAGGACATATAGTCTTAGTGTGTCTCTGTGCGCCCCATCAATCCTCGATGGGGTTATGTCTCTGTGCGCCCCATTTAGTATGTCTCTGTGCGCCCCCGTAGTAGCCCCCCAATGGGGTTCAATCCTCCTTAATCCTTCTGGCGAAGACCTCCCAGTAATTAGCTGCCTCCTAACCCCTTGCTCCGTGGCCCGATGCGGCCTGCTGCTGCTCGGAATCCCTTGGAGAAGAGCGGGTGGGCAGGGATTCGGAGTGGAGGAGGTGGCCCCCGCCTCGGACACTGCTCCAGCCTGCACTGGTGTTTTCGGTTTTCGAGGGTCTGGAGAGGAGGAGGAGGCGGAGGCGGAGGACTAATGATATCAATAAGAGTAATGATGTTAATAGAAATAGTATACTAATATTAATAATAGTAATAATAATACTAATATCAAGAATAATAATACTAACAATAATTATACTACTAATAATCATAATAGCAATGCGACTACTAACAGTAACAATAACCTTACTACGTATAGTAAGAATACGAAGAGTGCTGATACTAAGAAGAATACGAATAGTCTGATTTGCAAAGATAATGGTAACAAAGAAGGACGAATAATCACACTATCATATGGGTAACCATACAACTAATAATTCATAAATACGACTGTTAGTAATTCCAACAGTAATCGTATTACCCATCATAATAATAATTCTAACGCTAACAAGAGGGGGGGGGAGGAGGAGGAGGAGGAGGAGGAGGAGGAGGAGGAGGAGGAGGAGGAGGACCGAGGAGGACAATCGAGGAGGAGGAGGGGGATGAGGATCGTGGCGGCCAGAGCTGCGTCCGGGCGGGGAGCGCGTCTGGCGGGTCACCGCCCACCACGCGGGCAGGCTGCGGCGTGCCCTGCACGGGCCAGCTCCGATCACTCTGGAGCGCCTCCGCGCACCTCCCGCCCGGGGCCGCTCCGCTGCCCGGGCGGCCCGTCTCTCCTCCTGGCTCGGCTGGCCTCGGCGCCGGGAGGCGGCGGGAGAGAGGCGGGAGCCTTGCCTTCCACCCGAGCTGCCTCTCCAAGGGGCAGGCGGCGCGCAGGCAGGAGGAGGTCCTGTTGAGGAGGGCCTCTCCTCCCCGCTGCGCTCCCAAAGTGCCCGCCATGCGTCCATCCATCCTCCCCCCCGCCTCGTCCTCCCTCGGGGAGAGCACAACTCGCCCCCACGCCCCCAGCCAGAATCCCCGCACCCGACCCGGTGATCCAGGGGGTCCTGGCCGAGGACGGCGGCGGTTGTCCGCACAGGAGACCGCGCCCGCTCCCAGCCAGGACCCCTGGATCACCACGCCGGGAGTCGGGATCCTGGCCGGGGGTGGGGTGGGTCGTGCTGTCCTCGTCGCTATTTCTTCCCCCTTCCCCTCCCCCCCCCCCCCCGCGCGACAGGCGGCGGCGGGCCAGGCGGCCGAGGCCGCCTCCTGCTGAGGCGCCGAGCGGCGCGCGCGCGCGTGCCCCGGACTCCTGGGACGGCCGCCGCCCGTCGCCGCCGCCGCCGCCGCCGCCGCCGCCGCCGCCGCCGTCGTCGTCGTCGGTCGTCGTCGCCGTCGTCGTCGTCGTCGTCGTCGTCGTCGCCGTCGTCCGTCGTCGTTGTCGTCGTTCTCGTCCTCGTCCTCGTCCTCGTCCTCGTCCCCAGCCTCGTCCTCGTCCTCGTCCTCTTTAGATTGTCTCCAGAAGGATTAGGGAGTTTTCTCGGGATGGTTCCTACCAGTTGCTCTTCGTCACGGGGTTCCAGGGATGCCAGGATCGTCCCGAGCAACCGCCTGAGGCCCGGGTTATCGCCCGATCGTAGTCGAAGGAACGCCGAGCCCTTATTGGGGCTCTTTTTGGAGCCTCTAGGGCTCTGTTGGGTGGCCTCTTGGGGGGCTTCTCTCGCAAACCTCATTTGTCACTTTGAGCCGCCTCGGAGCGGATCTGGGGCCTCCTGGAGGCACGTGGGAGAACGCGCAGCATCCCGCAACAGCAGATCCGAGTGAGGAGGTGCCTCTGGGGGGGGGATCCGGGAGGAGGGGGTGGTGGTGGTGGCGGTCCCCTTGTCCGCAGGGGGGCGTGCCCTCCTGTCCCCCTTGTCCACCGGGGGGGGGGTCCCCCTGGGGGTTGGGGCCCTCTCGGGCCCGGGAAGACGCCAGGAGCCGTGGGGGTCACGCACGCTGGGAGCCCCGGGAGATTGCGGGCAACATGGGGCCCAGGCCCCTGAAAGAGTTCTCAGGATTGAGGGCTGAGGCTCCAGGGCTTCGGCAAGGGACCTGGGGACCCTCCAGCTCGTGCCTCGGGGGCACGATAGCTGACATACTTACGACTCGGCTGGGCACCGCCGGCAGAGAGAAGAGGGAAGGAGGGAGTGCGGGAGGCAGTCTCTGGGGGTTGGCGGAAGGGGGGAGGGAGGGGGGAGAGCGGGAGAGGGCTGAAGTCGGGCATGTCCCTCTACAGGAGGAATATCCAAAAAAAGTACAAGAATGCTCAGGGGACTTTTTTTTATATATATATATATATTATATATAATATATATATATATATGCCTATGTGCAGCTATTGTTTGACAAAATCTTAGGTTGTTCGTCCAGGATCCGCCTGCAGGAGGACACGCCCGACCTCAGCGAGGGCCCATCGCCCCACCGCCCCCCCCCAGGGCCCGCGCCGCGCGGGGTGCGGCGAGAGCCGCCGCCCCCGCCGCCCCTGCGCTCTTCGCCCCGCCGCGGCCGGGGCAATTTTCGCGCGCGCGTGCGCGCGCGCCGTGGGCCGCCGCGCCGTCGGAGTCCTCTCGGGGGCGCCGGAGGCCTCGAGTGGGGTCCTCATGGGGTTCTCCTCCTCCTCCTCCTCCTCCTCCTCGCTCCTCCTCCTCCTCCTCCTCCTCCTCCTCCTCCTCTTCCTCGTCCTCCTTCTTCTCCTCCTCCTCCTCCTCCTTCTCTTCCTCCTCCTCCCCCCTCCTGCTCCTCCTCTATTGGGTCCGCAGACGGGGCGGTGTCGTCGTCGTAGGCGTAAGTCGGGCCTGTCCCCCTACAGGGGGATTTTTGGACGAAAAATAAAATACCCCAAAAATAATAAAAAAATAATCCAAAAATAGTCTGGGGACTATTATTTGAGTATTCTCTGACTTTTTGGAGGTATTTTGGTGTATTTTTATTTTTCGTCGAAAATCCCCCTGTAGGGGGACACGCCCGACATAATCGTAGGCGGGGCGGACCTGGAGGGTCGAGGTGGGTACGTGCCCAAGCTCGGCAGCGCTCGGACGCGTGCCGTCTTTCTCGGCGGGGGCCGCGGAGGAGCATCCTGGAGCGTCGCGCGAAGGAGAAGCGCACGGAGCCCAACAAACAAGTGCGCGGGGAAGATGGGCGCCCGAGCTGTGCCGAGCAAATGCACGCGAGGGATGGGCGTCCGAGCGGTGGCAAGACGAGAAGGGGGACCAGGATCGGCACCACTGCCTGCCCATTTTGCCCGTGCCTCGAGGCAGCAGGTCGCCGGGCCAGCAGCGGCCGCTGCCGGGTGCCTAATTAGGCGACATGCGCCGCCCGCACAGTAAGGATGGGCACCCTTCCCGAGGGTGCCCTTGCGTCCTTGCCCCCCTCGGTCCATCCTTGCCCGCTCTCGCTGGCCAACCTCCTTCGAAAGGCGTGGACGCGGCCCTCCAAGGCCCCTGCATCCTGGCCGCGCATCCTTCTTCGACGGGCTGGCTGTATCCGCTTCCCCGTGCCCACCTCGGGCGTGCCCAGGGGCCTCGGGGCGCGGGGGGCCCCGGGGCGGCGCGGGGACCGCACCGCGCGGTGAGGCCCGCGGGGATCCCGGGCGGGCCGCACGGCCTTGGGGCCCATCGCGGGTCGCTCTCGCCGAGGACGCCTCGGGCGACGCGGGGCCTCTGGGCCTCTGGGGCCCTGGGGCCGTGCGGTGGCGGGGCGTGCGGTGAGGATGGGGGCGAGCTGGGCATGCCACTCCACAGGAGGAGTCTCCAGGAACAGGCAGAGAATGATCCGGGGGCGAGTTTTCTGGCGCTTTTGGGGGCTATGTTTGAAGTATTTGTTGTGTTTCCTCCCAAATCCGCCTGCAGGGGGGCCTGCCCGACCGAAGGCGACGGGGGGCCTCTGGGCCTCGGGGGCCTCCGCGACCTTCGCGGCCGAGTGAGCCCGGCGTACCCTGCCAGGTCGGGCGGGCCAGGCGGGCGGAGCGGAACGGACGACGGGGACACAGCACAGGCAGGACGTCATGGAGCCTGCTCGGGACGAGGAGGAACCCCGAAGGGACGCTTCTGGCAGCGCCTGCGGCGCCCTCCCAGGCGCGCAGGCGCTCCGCGGCCACCGCGCGGGCGCCTGCGCGGAGGCGTCGTCCGTGCAGGCGCCGCCGCCGACGACGCCGGCGACGACGACGACCTCCCGCGGGCGACGACCGCGACGACGTCGACGTCGACGTCGAGGGCGACGACGCCGACGGCGGCGTCGAGGGGGACAACGGGGACAAACACGTCGAGGAGGAGGAGGAGGAGGACAACGACGACAGCGTCGAGGACGACGACAGCATCGTTCGCGAAGGCGCCGCCGACGCCGCCGCCCACGACGACGAGGATCACGACGAGGACGACGAGTCGAAGCATCCAAGCTGTGTGAACATACCCTTTCGGAGGTCTGCGCCGACCTCCGAGAGTTAGTGCTCGTGTAGCGTATTGTTTCTTATTGCGCAGTTTGGTCTGATTCCAACGGGGGGTCGGCGCTAACCAGCCAATCCGCTCGGATCCCCGCCAGCGTGGGGCCGACACCCCAACCCTCTCGATTCACCGACCTGGGTTCGGGGTGGGAGCTACTCCGTGGCCCCAGCCGCGACACCTCCTTGGCAGGATACACTCTGGGAGGGGTCTGGGGGCGGACGACGAGGAACACGACGGCGATGAAGAGGACGGCGACGACGACCTCGACGACGACGACCTCGACGACGACGACGACGACGGCGACGACGACCACGTTGCTGACGCCGACGACGACGACGACGACGGCGACGAGCACGAGGACGACGACCTGGACGGCGCCGAGCGCGACGACGACGACGCCGTCCTCTTCCCCACTTCGGACGACTGACGACTGGGACGACGGCGAGCACCAGGGCGACGACGTCCTCCTCTCCCTCCCCCTCCTTCTCCTCCCCTCCCCCTGAGGTCCAAGGTCGCGAAACCGAGTCAATTGTCGTGAGAAGTCCCCACGGGAACCCTGGAGCAGCCCCTGACAGTCCTGCGGCCTTTCTCTCGATCTGCGCCGACGTGTGCGCGGCCCGGTGCCTGGAGTGCAGATCTGCGGCGCCCAGGACAGCATCGTGATGCTATTCGTAAGTCGGGCACGTCCTTCTACAGGAGGAATACTCAACAATAGTTAAACAATAGTCTGCGGACGATAGTTCTGTTCTTTTCGACTATTTTGGAGTATGGTTTGGGTACTTCCCATTTTCTCCTATCTAAATCCGCCTGTAGGAGGACGTGCCCAGCCTGAAGCGATTCGCGACGCGGGCCCCGGACCGCAGTCGCCCTGCCCCTTCCCCTGGGACTGGCTCTTCGTCCAGAGCCGTTTTCTCTCGCCCCCCCCCCCCCCCTCGGAACGCCGAGAACTGTCGAGGCCTCGCGCAGTCCCGTCTCTCTCGCGACGCGAGGTCCCCCCCCCCGCAGCTCTCCCCGTCCTCCCCTCCATGTCCTCCCCTCCGTCCTCCATCCTTCCCGCAGCTCCCGCCTGCATCCTCGGCCCCATCCTCCTCGGCCCCCTCCCTCCCCGCAGCCCCCCGCCCCCCCCATCCTCCCCATCCTCCCCAGGGTGACCTCGAGCGCCACCCCAGTTCTATGGTTTCTGTGGCTCCCGTGGCCCTCCTCGGCGGTGGAAAAGAGGGAGAGGGCGAAACAAGCCTCGAGCGCAGCACCCCAGGGAGCAGCCACAACGTCAGGGAGGAAACGCTGCCCTCTCTGCCGCAAGGCTTGGCAGACGGTTGACGCAAGCAAAACAACGCCTCCAGCCTCGGCCCCATCCTCAGCCCCTCCTCCTCCTCCTTCTCCTCCTCCCTCCCTCCCTCCCTCCCTTCCTCCCTCCCTCTCTCCCGCCCTCCCTCCCTCCTGCTGCAGAGGGGTAGCTGGGCGGGATTGTTCACTTCGTCGTGCGCGCTCTCTTGCGCCCACGCCAGCGCCATTTTGGCAGCTCGTTGCATTGTGTATTCGTGGATCGGGCGAGAGTGCACCCCGCTGCGATGGTGTCGTCGCAGCTGCCAGTCAGTTGGAGATTGGGAAGGGGTCCTCTCTTGGGCAGGGATCCAGCGCCACAAAGCCTGCAGGACCGCCTTCCTTTGTGCAGCCTGCCGCCCCGCTCGTCCTAGCGCAGACCACGTTTTTCAGTCGCTGCCCGAGCGGGCCTGTGCGCCCACCGCCCTGCCGCGCGGGTTGAGCCCCGCGGCTGTCAGCTGATGATTCGATT